TGTTCATCCAGCTCTACACCTTGTTAACTGCCAACAGCTGACATTTCCAAAGTTGCACAATTCATACATTCTAACATGAACCCAAATGAAGATAAACAAACAAGCCTCAATTTATAGCCATATCCACTTCTGTCTCTGTGGACATGCTAGCATAATGGCAAAAGAAAAATGAAAAACGAACACTGCAGTAAGTGGATAGACAAGACACATACTAACTAAAATTTTAGCATTATCAATTGGTATCTTTTTAATATATTTGCCATATCCCATTATTTATTACTTATGTAACACAGATAAGTCATTAGTTTTCAATCGGTTCTTAACATTCCCTTTAATTCTGGATTTTCCTCATGAGTTGGTCTCAACAGCCACAAGAGACAATGTTCAATTTGGAATTGCTGTGCATTCAGATACAAATTGATCATCTCCCTAGATGGGGCAAGTCACTTGCACATTATACATTGTTCGTGGAGTCTTTGCTTCTCAAAGTATACTTAGCTTTGATAATTCACTGAGCATCTTGGATTGGTTCTTCCCAATTTGTCAATTTTCCTTCTAAAGTTCTTCCATCAGTCTCGGCAGCCTAACCTTGCTCCCACTAAGCCCTCTCTATCCACACACCCATAGCCCAACGGAAAATGTAACATTCATGGTACAGAAAGCCATTTGCATTACCCAAATGTCTGCCATTTCCAATAAGAGAATTTAACCATCTTCACTCAGCAGTCAGTCAAATCATATTACCATAGTTGTATCCCACAATAAGCATCCTGGGGGCTTGCCATTGACAAGAAAAACTGAATTGAACTACATATAAATACCAAGGCTACAAGAGCTCAGAGGCTTGGAATTTTGCAATGAGTTACTCACCTCCTGATTCCCCATTGTCTGTCCATCATTTACAAGCCACAAGTCAGAAAAGAGATGGAATAATCTCCACTTGCCTGGACAAGTGCAGCTCCAACAACACTGAAGAAGCTGGACTCCATCCAGAACAAAGCAGTCTCCTTAACTGACACACCGTCTATCACCTCCAACATTCTCTCTCCCTGTCAATGATGCACAGTTACCAAGCATGCCATTGACAAGATGCATTGCAACAATCACCAAGGCTCCTTCAACAGCACCTTCCAAACTCAAGGCCTCTATCACCTAGACAAGCATGGACAGCCGATGCATCAGAATTCTAGCACCTGCAAATTATCCTCCAAACCACACACAATCTTGAGTTCGAACTATACCATAATTTATTCATTGTTGCTACATCAATATCTTGGAACTTGCTCCCTAACAATATTTTGGTGTGTCTACCCCATATGGCCTTCAATAGTTCAAGAAGGTAGCTCACCACTTTTTGAAAAATTATTATGATGAGCTATAAATGCTGGATTAGCCAATACCCACATCGCACAAAATAAATAAATAAAGTAATTAATACCTAATTATTTCCTCAAATTCTTCAAAAAGAGGGCATGTAACAATCCAATGCAAAGTTCAACTAAATTAGCATTTCTTTGGCTATTCCAAGAGTTAATATGGGCACTGCAATAGTATCAGGGTTCAGGTCTTCCCAATTCTTTCTTCAGAGTTTCTCCAACTCTGTGGTTTCACTGGCCAAACGAGTTTTTACAGGCTGATGACTTTTCACTTGCTTTAGGAAATCATTAAAAAAAATCCCTGCCAATAGAGGTTTGTACTGAATTATTTAACCGTATTCTAAATTATACTACTCATGGCCAAGTGATCAATCAGAAATATCAAAGAACAAACAGCATAGGTGCTCCATATCTTCCAGCAAAGTTCTGACATTTCTTCCTAGAATTTGCAGTTAGTTTTACTTAAAGCTGCAAGCTGGAAAGAGTTACAGTATAAATAATTTAGACATAGCAAGTTTGTGCTCCTAAGGAAAGGAATTTGGCAAACAAGAGAGAATGTAAATATTTAATTCATAAAATATAACGAATAAGTATGAGATAATACATTTTGAAAAGAGATTGAAGATCTGAACTAGGCAACCAATGCAAAAAAGGACATGGAAGAGAAAATGACGTTTAAGCCCTCCAAATACAACTACCCTGAAAGAACCAGAAAATCTAGGAAAAAGCTCAATAATTTGAGTTTGATAGGTAGGAGTATACCAAATAGGAGAAAAATATTAATTACACAAAATGTACAAATTATACCCGGAATTATGAGAGTTTGAACATCCATTGAAAAATGGGTCATAGAACAATTACTCATCTGGAAGTTTTCTATTTGTGCAAGAGGAGTTGCAATATTTCTACTGGAAAGATCACACTAACAGGAGATTAAATTAGAGATAGTTAAATTTATGTGTTTTTATTATGGGAGTGACCAACTAAAGAACAGTTCCTTCCACTTGTGGGAACAGGTGATCAATTTCTGATAGTTACTAAAAGAACCAAACAAAATAAGGAAGACATTTTCTCCATGGAAAGAGTTAGACAAATGAATTCCATTGCGAGAGAAAGTGTTTAAGTAGAGACAACTTGAGAAATATTTAAAGCAGGGAAAGATGCAAGTCTATGGAAAAGGGATCAGTTTAGTTTTGGGTTGCTTCAGCAAAGATTCAACATTGACAATTGAAGGCAAATGGCTTCCTAGAGTGTTCGAAATATTGACACAGTTCATAGCCAGAAAATAGTTGATATAATGCAATCAGCAGCCAAAAATAATTATATCTAAATTGTTTTACTGTAGTAAAGAATCTTTAAAAAGTATTTAATAAGTACTCACAAGGGCATCACAAATACAGGAGATTTCAAACACTTGAATAAAAAGGAAAGATTTAAGTAGATAGGTTAAGCATTTTTTCCCCTCAAATAATTTATGATATAATGTGCTTTTAAATAGAAAAAAAAATGTTTTAGTCAAGAGGCAAAATAATATTTATTCTGAATATACAAGTTAAAGCTATAAGCACATATAAAAACCAAATGATCAAAGCTATTTCACAAAATAGATGAAGTTTATAACAGCAAGGAAATTACAGTTACAATTAATGCTCTCTTTTTGCTCCAAATTACCCATATTTATAGAATAAAAATCACCAACTGTTTTGTAGTACACAGGTTTGCCATTTCGCTCTCTAAAACTACCCACACCACTGAGAAAGCCATGAAATATTTCCTATGATGTTATATAATACTTTCCCAATATCAACACTTCAATCTTATGTTTCATAAAACACAAAATTGTTCAATACATTAAAAAAGCTCTTCATTGCAGTCAAAATCATATTGAACTGCTATATGCAACAATGTTGTTGCTTCCCAGGGATTTTGCTCATTTGGCTAATGGGGAGATTGAGAGATTTAACGTGACAGTGTAGCAAGTTGTGTATTCTGCCTGATGCTGTCTGACAAGTTGTTATTTTGGCAATCGCTGGCCAAAATCTTACAGCCAATTACCATATAGAAAGCTCGTCGGAAAGATTGATTGAAGAAAGCATATAACAAAGGATTGAGAGTTGAATTAACATAACCCAACCATAAAAAAACTTCAAGAAGAATATGGTGTGCTGGGTATCCAAGCAAAGGGTTAACTATATTTGTAGTAAAGAATGGCAACCAGCAGATGAGGAAACATCCCATGATGATGCCAAGAGTTTTAGCTGCTTTCCTTTCTTTCTTCATGGAAGAATTTTGGCACCTTGTCAAAGTGTTTCTTCCCTCTAACCCGTTTTCAATGGTATATACCTGTCTGGCTTGGATCCTTGCTACTAGGAATATTTTTCCATATGCCACTAGCATCACCAACATGGGAAAGTAGAAGGCGATTACTGAAGCAGAAACAGCATAAGGAATATTGACCATAAACACACAACTGTGTGGATCAAAGGGTAGTAGAATGGCTTCCAATCCCCTCAAATGGACATCTAACAACAAGGGCACAAACGACATCAAAGCAGGCACAAACCAACAAATCAGGAGGAGGACGGTCACTCTCTTCTGAGACATCCTGAATCGATATTTCAAAGGGTAACACACAGCATAGAACCGATCGAAGGCAATGCAACTGAGGTTCATGATGGAGGAGGTGCACAGCATCACATCCATGATCGTGTGGATTTTGCAAAACGCCTTCCCAAAGTACCATCCAAAGACTAGCTTGGCCATGCTGAAAGGCATTACAATAATGCCAACGAGGAAATCTGCGACAGCCAGGGAGACTATAAAAGCGTTAGTTGGAGTCCGCAGTTTGGTAAAGTAAGCGATTGAAGCAATTACTAAGAGATTTCCGAAGATAGTCCCAGCTATAATCACGGTGAGAACACTGAAGACAACAACCTGGTCTATGACTTGCCATGTTGCAGATGATGCTTTTCCTGACGAGTTAGAGTGTGTGGTCCAGTTATTGAACGGTGTAGTGTTCATCTCCTGTGACGACGTGCTAATAATAATCGCCGAGAACATAATACACTCACCAAGACAAGCTCGTATTGCGATGATGATTTATTCCACACATATCACCAACACGACCTCCTCCCCAGCTACACTTCTTCTGACTACTTCCAGTCATAAATTCTTGCTAAAGTTCTAGAGTCTTACGATCTCCTTTCTTATAGATACTGAACACGGGATTCAGGCACATACCAAACAAGTAAACTAATGCACACTTTCCCCCCCGCCCAAAGTCGGCTGATGTGTTTGGTTCTCATCCACCCGCTAGTTGATAAGCTCAGTTGTAAATCATTAACCTTTGTGGCAATTATTTATCTCTCAGTTTGCATCTTGTACAACTTTGTATTGCAGATACTAAAGGGTCGTTCAATATTATCCTTGCTAAGTAAATGGGATATATTGAGAATTAGCAATGACCACCAAACAACAAGTGCTCTCCAAGTCAGCTGCACAATTCGTATAGAACCGAATGTAAATCAACGAGAATGCGAAAACACTTCAATACAAATTGGAGTTGGTAGCCGGTTGAATTCAGTCGGAAAACCAAAGTCAAAATTTGTAAAGTTTTAAACTCAGCGGCGTTTATTAAGATGCGTGCTAACAATCACGCACAATTAAAGATAGCCCATAATGCATTTAATTAAGTCAGACATGGAAAAAAGAGTATTCAATCACTTAAGAACATTTGGGTTTGGCAGCGGTAGTTTATCACTTTAAGTAATCAATTTAATAGCAATGATAGTCTCATCGTCAAAAAAAAAACAGGCTTCCCGCCCATTTGAAGGGTCTGTAGAATATCATACTACCTAGTGGATGTCTTGTTGTTACTCTCCACTTTATACGTTCAGGATGTAGGAAAAATTCGCAGATCAATCCACGTCAATAGAGCTTTATTGAGTTGGAGTTGAGTAAGTTTCAAGGATATTCTGAATTGTATTTAAGGGTCATTTTAAAGATTGGGTTCTAGTTCAGATTATAAAGCGTCATTCTACGGAGAATAATACACAAGAAGAATATCAAACGTGTAGAAACAAAGGTAGACTTGAAGGTAAATAAGACTTGATTGTTGTGGAAGTCGATGTGAAGGGAAATGATGGTAGGGAGCCTTATGGTAATACTTCTCAGGCCAAGCAGTGTCTGTGGAGTGAAACCGGTTGGATCTTTTGTCGGGCGAGACAGCCTTTTCCTCGGAATTCAGAATATTGTATGGTTTTTCTTCATTCCTGTAGGAAAAGCAACAGGATAATTGTGGGTGGAGGTGATTATTGGGAATCAGTCAATGCTGTAGGTATTTAATAAATGTCGTGCTTTTTATAGGGGAAAGTCAAAATGAACCTGGATGAATACCTGGGGGGGGGAAAAATCACGATCTATTTTTAGAAAAGTTAAAAGAGAAATTAGGATCAACTGCTGCATTCTAGAGTATGAAACTGGAGAAGAAGTGATTGGAACATGAACCACAATTGAAAAACGTTTTTGAAAAGAGTATTTATGGTGCTGCAGGATACTGAACAGTCCATAACAAAAGAATGCTGTGAGCCAGCTAGGCCTGCCTGGGAGTAAAGTGGATTAAGGCTTTTCCTCAAAGTTTAATCCAAAGTACAAGTAGGCTTGTTAGGTAACTATTAAGTATTGAGCCAGTTTTCTCTACAAGACAAAGAGAGAGAGAGATCAAGTATCTCCAAAGTGGATGCCAGAAGAATTGGCTGTTGTGTTTTGAGCAGGAGAGATGGTCAGGTGTCCCCAGTAAGTGAGTCAAAAATGCAGAGAGCAGAAGAGTTAGTAGCTTGAGGAGGATGTGACCCCTTGAGGGAGTATGATGCATGCAAACTGAGAAGTGTAGACCAGGAGCCTGGATGAGAGCTGTATACAAGAGGAAAGCTAGTGAGTGCTCACTGTAAGTGTGAGATACCAAAGAAGAAATAGTGGGACCTAACCTTGCACAGCATAGTAGATCATTCACCTTCTTTCTGCACAGTTGAGCACTTCATTTAATTGTGGCAGAACAGTTACCTGTGCTGTTTTATTTTTAACCTGGGCTGGTTAATTGGAGAAATGGACTGTCCTTCTCTCCATTAGGCCTTCCACCAGCACCTCCAGATCTGTCCATGAAGCGGTGAATGAGCTTTTTTTATCTTCTTTTGTTTGAGAAATTCAGATTCATCACTCCTATGTGAAGAGGTCCTTGTTGGTGCCATCAGAGGTGATGTGCAGCTGGGCTTTAAATACAGTAATAGAGGTGTGGACCCCAGAAGGTCTTGCCAGTGGTAAGTCCATCTGCCTTGCTGCCTGTGAGATTCTGAGAAACATGTCTAATAACTCAGTTACATAACTTATAAGGTGAAGGGCTGAAATTTGCACTAGAAAAATCACCCTGACCATGGGAGATTGGATGCCATGAACCACACTTGCCAAAACACTTGAATGGCAAATGGGAGTGTTTAGCCCTAGGAGAACTGCAACCATTGTTAAGCGTATAAATAGTGTAATGGAGGCTTCATTTTGAATAATTTAATCCTTTGAGTTCAGAGAATTCTCCCAGTGTCTCTCTTTCCATTTCCTATATTCCAATGATGCCACTTTCTGTTGAGCTGCCTCCAACACAATCTTGTTTTCCTTCAGCTGTGGAATTCCACAACCCTCCCTATCCCCACCATGATTGACAAGGCAGACAACTTCTGCTCTGACCCCTGTCCCTTCCTCCCAGAATGATAGTGTTTCCCTTGTCCTTACTTTCAACCCCATAGGTTTCTGAAATCAGAGGATAATTCTTTAATTCCCACCATCTCCAGCAGGATATTTCCACCAAATGTATTTTCCTTCCCCTCCACTGCCAGCATTTCTCAGGGGCCATTCCCTTCATGACATAGTCAACTTCTTCATCAAACTTAATTCTTCCTCATTTTCCATGCAATCAAGTAATGTGTAACACTGCTAATTCACTTCTCCTCTTGTCCAAGACTTGAAGTACACCTTCCAGGTGAAGCTGTGTATTACTTCTTTCAATCTGGTCTATTGCATTCCCTGCTTACAATTTAGTCTCCTGTACATTGGTGAGATCAAATGCAGACTGCTGACAGTTTTGTGGAACACCACTGCTGTGTTTTTACACGTGACACTGATCTTGTCATTGCTTGCCATTTCAATAAACCATCTTGCAAACATTTCTGACCTAGGCCTGCTATAGTTTTCCAGGGATGCACAATACAAGTTGGAAGAACAGCACTTTATATTCAGTTTGGGCACTTTACAGCCTATCAATATTGAATTCCACAACAGTAGTGCATGACCTCTGTGCTCTTGATTTTTCATACATCATTCACACACACAGCTGTATCTTGTTGACTTTGTTCTCAGCAGAGATGACTCATTTTCTCCTTTTCAAGCCTTCATTTACACCCTTTGTACATTTCTGAATCTTCTTCACCATGATTAGCAACCCATTCTGCTCTGGGCACCTCACAATCTGTTCCACCTGCTCCTCCTCCCACTCTGTCCACAGCACGCAAAAACATTTTCCAGTGTTTTTCAGAACTAAAAAAGGAGTCATCAAACTTGAAGTGTTAACTCTTTCCCTCTGTGCACAGATGCTGCCAGACTTGCTGAGTTGCTCCAAAACTTTGTTTTTATTTTAGACTTCCAGCATTTGTAGTATTTTGCTTGTCCATGAAGGATGTTTACCTGATGATGAAGGAGCAGAGCCATGTAAGGACAAACTAGGGCCAGTGTCAGAACAATACTGTGAGTGAAGCAACCAGTAAGCATCGTGCAGGGAATTGTCAACCTTTTGGGGGGAGAAATGAGGATGATCCCGAATGTGTGGCTGCTGTGATATGGAGCTATGTGGGCAACAAAACCTTCCTGCTGATCATCACATACCATCCTCCCTAAGCTGTGTATAGGATGGGCCAAAGGACTTAAAGTTAATGATGATATTTGACAGCTGCATGAGAAAATTGATTGTATAGGATGGGAAAATAGGCTGGGAAAGTTTAGGATGATACCTGACAAGCTGCATGACCTTGAATGAGTCCTGTGAACACTTCTTTTCCCGCCAAAGATGGCACCTGCAGCATGTTTTGTCTGTAGCTGGGTTTTCTGTACCAACCAGCAGGTTTGTCTATTGTATCTGCTTTCCTTGTGCTAGCTGCTTTGTTACAGTGTATAAGAGACAGTTTCGTTCCAAGTCGCTAGACTTCATCTCGGCTTGGAATCTTGAACGGTGCTGGGAATTAACCTAAGCCTCCAGACCAGCCATTGATCAATGGGTCCCTGAATGGTAAAAGGGCGTGAGACTTGTTGCTTTTTCTATTTTCTTTTCTGTTTATTACTACAATTATCATTTATTATCACTTAATTAACATTCATATTTAAGCAAGTTGGTGTTGTCAAGTCGTCTTAATTTATATTTAACCAAATCCAAAAGCACTGCTTGGATATATGCTGTGATCCAAGACAGGCTGATGAATTGGTATTCCCCCATGTTGAACAACACTTAGAGGAAGCACTGAGGATGGCAAGGGTACAAAATTGACTCTGGGTTGGAGATTTCAGTGTCCACCACCAAGTGGTTTGGCAGTAGTTCTACTGATTAAGCTAAAGGACATAACTGCTGGACCAGATCTGCAGCAGGTGGTGAGGAATCCAACTAGAGGATTAAACATGCTTGACCTCTTCCTTACCAACTGGTCGGTTGCAGATGCATCTGTCCAGGACCATATCGGTAAGAGACCATTGCACAGTCCTTGTGGAGATGAAGACCCGCCTTCATATTGAGAATAACCTCCATTGTGTTGTGTGGCACTATCACCATGCTAAATGGGACAGACTTTGAAGATATCTAACCACTTGACTGGACATCCCTGAGGTGCTTTGGGCAATCAACAGCAGTGAAATTGTACTCCAGCACCGTCTGTAACCTGGGAGCAATTTACTGCAGAAGCTGAAATCTGAACTGAAAACAAAATATGCTGGAGATTGGGTTGGGGGGGTGGGGGTGGTGGTCAGGCAACATCTATGGAGAGAAAGCAAGCTAACCTTTCAAGTCTAAATGATTCTTCATCAGAGCTGAAATGAAGTGTGGAGGGGACAGCATTTATGTAATGGTGTGGAGAGTGGGTTTGGAGTGCTGGGGGAGAAAGGATTTTGTTGATAGATCAGATTAAGTGATCAGAGTGTGAGAATGGCAGAACAATGGTGTCTCTAATTACCAGACTGGAAAGAACAGTCACACTGGGGTGGGGGGAGGGATGAGATGGTGACAGAGAATATAACAAGCAAAGCTAAAAGGGGAAGGAATAGGTTCACAATTTGAAGGTGTTGAACTCCATATTGAGCCCAGAAGGTTATAAACTGCATAGTTTGAAGATGAGATGTTGCTCCTCCCGTTTGCACTGTAATTTGCTGGCGCATTGCAGCATGGTAAGGACAGACAAGTGGGAATGCGGGCAAGATGCTGTGTTAAAATGCTATGGAAGATCAGGGTCATGCTTGTGCATGGACCAGAAGTGTTCTTCATAGCAGTCACCCAGTCTGCATTTGGTTTCTCCAATGTAATGTAGACCACATTGGATGCAGCGAATACAATA